AACAAAGGTAAAATCTATGCCACCACGAGATCAAGAAGATCAGCTAGTAACATAACTTCCTTTAGGAAAAAAAAAAAAAATTCTTTACAAGATCACAAAATTTTATAGTATGAATCTGCAATGTCTAGTATACAGTAAAAAAAACTACTTAGCATGCAAAAACAAGTAAGATAACAATGGCAAAAAACGAAAGAAGATAAAGAAACAATAGGAATGGATGACTGAAGGTCAAGAGAAAAAGCAATCAATAAAAATAGACCATGAGATGACACAAATGTTGAAATTAGGAGAAAAGAACCCTAAAGTAGCTATTACAATATGCTCATGGACTTATTAGAGTCCTAATGAATAAACATACAGGGAATAGAACATGTAAAAGAAAACAAATGAAAATTCTAGAATCGAAAAGAATACTATATAAAAATAGCAATTCCCTGGATACTTCCATTTCTGCCCATTAAGAAATGACAGGTATGGGACATGTAATCCCACCATAAATAAGTAGAAAAGCAGGCAAAATATATAAAACAAAAGGGCAGGATTGTGAGAAAGGGGAAATAAACAAAGAGAGATCTTACTATTTTCACAGACTTTGATCTGTAGACAATACTAAAATGTGATGCAGTAAAGGGGAACCCAAATGTGGCTAAACAACATTCTTTTTTTTTTAATTTTTATTTATTTATGATAGTCACACAGAGAGAGAGAAAGAGGCCGAGACATAGGCAGAGGGAGAAGCAGGCTCCATGCACTGGAAGCCCGACGTGGGACTCGACCCGGGTCTCCAGGATCGCGCCCTGGGCCAAAGGCAGGTGCCAAACCGCTGCACCACCCAGGGTTCCCCGCTAAACAACATTCTTGTGTTAAAGAGATATAGAAACTCAGGGAGGCTGAAGAAATTGAATTTATAAAACAATATCTGATAAAAAATGAGTAACATAAAAAATAGAATAACAAAATATTTTCTTAGTTTTAATTTACTTAAAGATAATTAATGGTTTAAAGGGAAGCAAATAATAATACTTTCATTTGTATAATGGTATTTATATATGTATAAGATTAAGACTATAACAACAGCAAAATATTAGGAGGAATGAAAATGTAATTATATTTTTTAAGATCCTTATAGACAAATCCTAGAGTAACCATTATTAAAAAGAAAGTTAGACCTAAGAATCCAATAGTGAATATAAAATAGAATACAGAAAATTGCTTATTTCATCTTAAAAAGAAATTATTAAAGTAGAAAAATAGGAACAAAGTCACATAGAAAATAAATAGCAAGATGGTAATTCTTTTTTTTTTAAGATTTATTTATTTATTTATGATAGAGAGAGAGAGGCAGAGACACAGGAGGAGGGAGAAGCAGGCTCCATGCTGGGAGCCCGATGCGGGACTCGATCCCAGGACTCCAGGATTGCGCCCTGGGCCAAAGGCAGGCGCTAAACCGCTGAGCCACCCAGGGATCCCCAAGATGGTAATTCTAAGCACAAATGCATCACTAATTACATTGAAGATAATAGTCTACACTTCCAATTAAAAGGCAAAAATTACCAGATTGAATTATAAAAAGACTCAACATGCAATATGAAGATAGAAATGTATAATTTCTCTGTAAAAGAATGGAATAAACCCACAAACCATGCAAACACTTATAAGATAATATTGCTATACTAATATTAGACAAAATACATTTCAGAACAAAGACTCTTACTAGGTAATAAAATGGGGCATTCCATAATGATAAAGGGTAAGTTCCTTAATAAGCTATAACAACCCTAAAATGTATCCACTTAAAACAAGTAGCAAAATATATGAAACAAAACTTATATAGATGGAATGGAATAATATATAAATCTTAATTATAAAAAATTTCCAGACTCCTTTCTTATCATTGAAAGAATAAACAGGCAGAAAATCAGTAAAGACCTGAATGAGGAGCACCTGGATGGCTCAATGGTTGAGTGTCTGCCTTTGGCTTAGGTCCTGATCCCAGGATCCTGGGATTGAGTCCCACATCAGGCTCCATCCAGGGAGTCTGCTTCTCCCTCTGCCTATGTCTCTGTCTCTCTCTGTCTCTCATGAATAAATAAATAAAATCTTTAAAAAAGAAAAAAAGACCTGAATGGTACTACCAGCTAATTTGATATGACATTTATAGAACATTCCACCCCAGGACAGAAAAATGTACATACTTTTCAAATGCACCAGGGACACTCCCCAAGACCAAATGCTGGGCCATAAAATAACTCTCCATATTTAGAAGCTAAATTCATACAATGTACATTTTCTGAATGCAGAGAATTAATTATCACTCAGAAATAAAAAGCTATTTGTGAAATCCCAAAATATTTGGAAATGTAATAATACACTTCCAGATAACCTCTGCGAAGAAAATGAAATCCTTGGGGGAAGTGAAAAGTATTTTCAACAATGTGATAAATTGAAACATAACCCCTCAAAATGTGTAAGATTCAGCTAAAGATGTGCTTAGTAAGAAATGTATAACTTTGAATATATATATTAAAAAAGATGAAATGTCCAAATCCTTTATATAAATTTCTATCTTAAGAAGTAACATAAAATAAGTAGAAGAAAAAAATAGCAGAAATTATTAGAAAACAAATAAACAAAACTAATAAAGCTAAAAGTTTGTACTTTGAAAAGAGTAATAAAAGATTAATAACATTGATAAATCCTTATCAAGACTGCTTTAAATCAAAAAGGAAGGGGCCAAAAAAAAAAAAAAAAAAAGAGACAGAAGAAAGAGAGAACACAAATTCTCAGCATTTAAGAATAAAAGAGATGACATTACTACACATCCTGCATATTGCAATAGAGGGGATTATAAATAAGGATATAGCATAATTAAGCAAATAACAATAAATTCAACAACTTAGATGGATTAGAGAAATTCACGGTTGGTAAAACCAAAAATCCATTTACCACAACTAGCACAGGAATAATAACAATTCTAATAAATGCAAATTTATAAACAGAATCCACAAAGAAAACTTTAGGCATAGATATTACCACTGAATTCTAAAAAGTATTTAAGGAAGAAATAATAAAAGGCCTACAAAAACTTTTATATACTGTAGCAGAGAAAGAGATATTTCCTAGCCCCTTTTATAAAGCTAGCCATCCTGATTCTAAAACCTGACAAAAGCATTAGAAGAAAAGTCTTGATCGATATCCTTCATTAAAATAGATGCAAAATTCTTTACCTGATATTAGCAAATTAGATCCAGTAATATCTGTGGAAAACATAATATATTTTGACCAAGTGGGATTTACCCCAGGAATGCAAGATTTATTCACCTTTGAAATCATTCAATAGAACTTACCATATTAACACAAATAAGGAAAAAGGAGACAGAATATTATTTGAATATGTTCTGAAAAATATATGTCACAACTATTAAAATAAATAAATGAGGTGAGTAAGGTCATAAGATGAAAGGGCAATATATAAATTTATATTTAAAGTAAGTTTAAATATAATATAGAACAGGTGGAAAAGGAAATTTTATAAATAAACTTATAATAGTGTAAAAAATCAAATAAGGAAAAGTTTAATAAAACATATGCTGATATACTTAGGAAAATAAAAAGTCTCAACCATCAAACCACATCCAAGTACTTTAAAATGAAATATAGACATAAGCATAAGAGCTAAAATTATAAAGCTGCTAGAATAAAATCTAAGAAAATATCTTTGCTATCTACAGATAGGACACAATTTCTTAGCACTAAAAATGAAAGAAAAATGTGGTACATTGAAGTTCACTAAAATTTAAAAATTTGCTATTCAAAAGACATTATTAATAAAAGAAATAGGAAATCCAGAGACCAGGAGAAAATATTTGCAATAAAAATATTCAACAAAGAATTTGTATCCAGAATGTATAACTTCTCCTATCCAATAACAAGAGGCAGACAACACAATTTTAAAAAGGCAAAGTCTTAGAAATTATACAAAAGAAAATGGCCAATAAAACACTTGCAAAGTTGATCAGCATCACTAGTCATCAAAGAAAATTGAAGTTAAAACAATAGTTAGATACTCTTTCAGACTCATTGGAACGGCTAAAATTATAGATTAGGAACATCAGATGTTGGCAATGGTGTAGAAAAACTGCTAGTCATTTTCTTGCTAGTGAAAGTATAAAATTATACAATAATATGAAAAAGTGTTTACAGATTCTTATAAACTGCATCAATCCTGTTACCCAAAAATTCCACTTTGAGGTATTTCTCCAAAGGAAACAAAAATGTATGTCCTCAAAAAGACTTACATAAGAATGTTTGTTCTCTCAAAAGAAAAGCAGAGAAACAAAATAGGATATATTCACACAACTGAATACTACTCAGAAAGAAAACATATGAGTTGCAAGATATATACATAGGTAAATCTCAAAAACATTGTTTTGTGAAAGAAGCCAGACACAAAATATTATATTCTGTGTGATTCCATTTACATATATTTCAAGAGCAGGCAAAACTAATCAATGCTAATAGGGAAAAATTTTCTGTAATGATGATAATAGATTTAACACAGATTTCTTCTTTTGGATAATATATTTAGATTACAAGGTTTTTTTTTGGCTTGTTTCTAGTTAAATTTTGGCATCTTTCTTGCTTAGAGGAAGTGTATAGATTGAAACATAATGCACTTTCTTCAGTTACTGCCTCATTTCCTAATATATTTCAATGGCATCAACATTGCTAATGAAGTTATCGATCAAAAATTATTTTCAAACCAACTTTCAGCATTTAACCACGCAGTGACTATAAAGAAGTTTGTGAGAAACTTAAAAGCACAAAAAAATTGCTAATCATTTTTATAAGAAACCTAGTCAGTCAGCCAATTTGTGTGTATGATGAGTGTATCCTGTCACTCACTGCTGCAAATCCACTGTTAGGATATAGGTTAAAAATAAAATTTCCCTTGTTACCAGTTGACTAACTCTGAAGCACAGGCCACAAGATGTACTCACCAATTATTATCGGCTGCGGCTCACTTTTTACTCCAACCCCTGCACTTGTACTAGCTGCAACCTCTACCCGGTACTGAATACCTGGGAACAATCCACCAATTATCACAGATCGAATGGCTGCATCCACAGTTTTGTTGATATGGAATCGTGTTTCATTCCCCAGACACCAGATCTATAGAAATGCAAAGTGATTTAACAAAAGAATATGAAATTATCCTTTCTGTTAAGTTGATGACACATCTTTAGTAGTGACCAATCAATTCCCTAGGTTTATAGTAGCATTTGTAAATGACATTTTCTAAAGTCTAATTTTTGCGGTTTATTTATATGTGTGTGTCTGTGTATTAAGGGATGAACAGTATGGGAAGCTAAAACTATGCATGTTCCTTTATATTTTACACTGAATGCTTGTAACACAATGGTCCTTTAACACTACTGGAATGTGGTCCTTGGTTGCAAACAGTATTTAGGTATGGATTAAAATACATAAACCTCTGCTTAATTTATTTATCAAGATTTATTATGCATATAATCTTTTAAAATATCGTGATTATTAGTTGTAATATCCAAAGTATATAGGTGCACATCTGAGTAATTTATATTTTATTTAAGAAAATATTAACTTACCCCGAAGTAGTTAACAAGATGAATTGACCTAAGTTATAAGTATTGACTGAGATGAAATTAAAGCCAATATTTACATTGACAGTAATAAATCTTCATATCGATCAAAACATATGTACCCCCACACATACACATGCATGAGAACAAAGTGGGGGAAAGTCTTTAAAGACTGATGTGAAAGAACTTGCAGGCTTTTACTGCAAGTAAGAATCCATTTTTTTTTTTTTTTTAAGTAAGAATCAAATTTTAAGGCCTACTTTTTTCTGGGACATGAGATCTGTTTTTGTCAAATGCATTATAAAAAGAATCATACTGTGTATACATATTTGTATTCATTATTGATAGTATTTCATAATCTACATGGAGATACTTAAGTGTGAACAGACATGGTTTGTTTCTGAAACAGGTGCATTCCTGAAACTGTTTATTTCAAGTAATTACTATGGACCGTACAGTTCTTTTATTTGCACAATATCTATGTTATTAATGTAGGAATATTTAGGCCTAACCAAAATACACACCTTGTTACCAAAATAAGGCAATTTCATATGAGTGAGAAAGTTTACTACTTACGACAAAAATTACCATGTTATAATCAAAATCAGTATTTCAGTAAATGGAAGTGCAGGATAGTTCATTCCAAATGATAGAAAAGTAAAATCCTGAGTTCATTAAAACACACACACATACACACACTCACACACAAACACACCAGAATAGATTATTCTTTGCTCCTAAAACATTGTGCCATAATCCCTATGAAACTTTACATATACATATATGTAATATTTATGTATAATTATGATATTGTAAAACACTGATTCTTATATTTCTTACACATGTTTCTTTATAAAGTGACAGGAATAATTATAGAGTAAGTGCTTGCGCTCATTTTCTCAGTAAGTTAATTATTCATTAATTTAACAAAATTCTATTTTGCATTTTATTTTTTCTTAGAAATAACATAAGTCACTCTGCAATGCTTTCAGGACAACTACACAGCTTCATTTTCCAGACCAACTATAAACTTTTAGGGTGAGATGGGGTGTCTAGTTTTACATTCTATAGATCTATCTAGCATGTTGTTAGAATTCCATACACATGTATTAATAGCAAAACCACAGTTTTGAATTTATATAAGGTTTAATGAGATGTTTTACTATCATATGTGGTCTAATCACATCATAGCCAATCAGAATCTTATTTCTCAAAGTTAGACATCTGCCTCTTAAACATCAAACGATGTTAAGAAAACAATGGGTATGTAATTTCTAAACAGCAACAAATTTATCATTTGAAAAATGAAATAATAAACTGTTTTTTTAAGTAAGTTTTTTCATATTTTTTTTCTGAACGGATCCTCTTTTTCAAGTGAAATATTTTACAAAACCTCAATAAGTTGATCAAACCAGAACTTAAGAGTGAGGGTTGGTGCTGCCCACTGTCCTATCCCCACCCCAACTCTAAATCTTGAAAGCATCTTTTTGTGAAACCACAGTTTAAAACTGTCCCTGCTAAGGCCCATTACACAATAATTAAATAACAATGATACAGGTTCTGAACCAAGCCATCCCCAACACCTGGTTCCTAAACCCTAGGGATGTGGGATAGCTATGTGACACCAGAAGACTCCAATGTTATGGTGGACTTGTCCAAGTGAGTTTTTGTTATCAGTGACTTGGAGTCAGACTCAGTAAGAGGGCCTTTGGAGATATGCTTCATGCCTGTGATACTGAGACTTCTCTAGGAAGCTTTTCTGTGAGCCTTCCTTTTACACCCAGGCCCTACCTTGTATTCTTGGATGATTCCATTCTGATGATCTGGAGGAGGAGGATCCCAGGAAACACTAATACTTGTGCTATTGTGGCTTCCAACTGTCAGCACGGTGACAGATTGTGGAGGGGCACTTGGGGCTGCAGAGGAAGTGATTAGAATAAACACAAACTGTAAGTCTTGATGTGCATTAAAACTGCTTATAGAATATGACTATAAAGACAGGAAGCAAGAGGTCTGGTTTCTAGTAGTTCCAAATTTGCATGTAGTGTTCTACAGAGACATTTTTTTTTAAAAATATCCTTTAAATATAGTGGATAGATTTAAAGCAAACACAACAGCTGTGCTAATATGTGCTCGATAATAAATTTAATAGCTAACATTCTTTTTTAAAGATATTTATTTATTTATTTATTTATTTATTTATTTATTTATTTGACAGAGAGATAGATCGCAAGCAAGCAGAGTGTCAAGCAGAGGTAGAAGGAGAAGCAGGCCCTCTGCTAAACAAAGAGCCCAATGCAGGGCTCAATCCCAGGACTCTGGGATCATGACCTGAGCTGAAGGCAGATGCTTAACTGAGTGAGCCACTCAAGTGCTCCACAGCTAACGTCCTAATGAGTATCTTCTATATGCACAGCACTGAGCTAAGCATCATATTTAATGATCACACTAACTTCAAGAGGGAAAAACAATTCCTAACTCAGTTTTCCAGAAAAGGAACAGAAGACTACTGTAAACAGAGTTATCCAAGTCAAACACCAAGGCAGAATTTGAACCCAGGTAGATCTGGCTCTAACATTTGATCCTTTTGACTCCAATCAGCAGGCTCTCTTTCCGAACAAAACATTCTATCAAAACTATTCTGAGAGAATAGATTCCAAATTTTCATCAATCAATATCTCTGAGTGGTGTCATTAATAACCATCCTTTTGTTTTGTATTTAACAAATAAAAACAGAAATGCAGCAATAAATTTCACCAAAAAAGAAATACTTTTTTTCATGTTGGGAAAAATAATTGACTTATACACTGGCTCATAATTTAAGATTTAAAACTTATTTTATATTGATGGAAAAGAAACTCTGAAGTTACAAATGAAAACAGTTCATGTTGGGTCGAGTGTGAAATGGATAGATTTTAATTTCCTACAGTTCCCATCCTTTATGGTTTCTCCTATAACTAATTATAATCACACTGAGAAAAGATGAGTGAGAAACAATTTCTGATTTTAGACTGCTGCATCTGCTCTCCAGTCTATCTGAGAGCTGAAAAGTACTAATTTTACAGGGAAATTTATCAATTCTCCTTAAATCTCTGAGTATGAAAAACAAAATGAAATAACAGTTGAAATAAAATTCAAAGAATTTTGTGGTACTAAAGGATTTTTGTGTAAAAGGATCAGTGCTTTCATAACTCTACACAGTTTAGTCCTTTGAACATATGTGCAATTGAATGGTAAAAGATATTTTAAAAGCCTATCAATAAAGTCTCCCATGTTTCATAAATGTGTCACTGAGTTATGCCTATATGTGCATTGAGATATAGGATATACACAGACACGTTAGCACAAGATCACTCTGTATTAGTCCTCTATCTGATAATATTGTTGCAAAATATGGAACAATGACATAAATTTAAGCATGTGTTCACCCAGTTTTGTAATTATTAAGTAGGTTGCATTGAAAAATTACACTTTGCAAAACTGGTTTCTCATTTGACTTGCCACTGGCTGGAGGAGAACACCATGCCTGCTTCCTGAGAGGTGAATTATTCCAGTGCTCACCTTCTTCTACAGATGTGAGGGAACCCAAATCACTGAGCATCGTTTCCAGACACAGCCCAGCTAAGTTCCATTTGTTACATTCAGAAGGCCACATAAGCTGGAAATGAACTCACACCAAATGGTGAAGAATGCCTAACCCAGAGGAAAAGTATAACTGCAGCGAAATTCATTTTTGGAAGTGTGCTTCAAATGTAGCATTCTATATTAAATTCACCCACTCCATTTATTAGTAGTACATATTTTCAACATGAAGTAAAATTTAATGGTGGATGAAGATATTATTATTAATTTTTAGTAATTTTTTTCTTTACATATCCTAAAAGTAGATTAACGTCTTTAAAGATATGTCCCATTGTTCATGTTAGTGTATCATAGTGTTAACAGGTGTGGACATAACATTTTCATTACGATGCTGATTATAAGATATGCACAACTTAAAAGCTCTTTTGTCCAACAAGGACACCTATGGTAGCATAAGAAACCTATAGACCTATTCTTAAGATTGCTCTCATATTGGTCTATGAAAAGCAGCTTCTTTCCAGGAGCTCTGTAAATAAAATTAGTAGAAAAGCAGAAGAGGAGGGGATTTATTACACTTGGCATCTGACTTTTTGTACTTTAATAATACCATTTATTATAACCCTCTGGTTTAGTGAAGGAGACACTAGTACAGAGACTGGTTCAAATTCACATTAATTTTATGTCCATCACAAATTGATTTTAAAGTATCTGTATGCAAATGGCCAAGGGGGAGAAAATATCACTAACGAGAATGCTATTGCAAACCTACAAGTGGCCTTCTGAATTAGAAATTATGTGGACAGAGCCCACAGGGAAGGAGGGTTATAAAAGAAAATGTTACACTTTACTATATCAAACACAGGAAAGTAACAATGAGCAGCCTGTGTTCTTAAGTTTCCAATAGCCTATCTTATAATAAAGCCAAATGAACTCAATCCATGTTAAGAAAAAAGAAAAATATGGGAAAATATTGCAATCAAATTTCTGTATCCTGGCAAAACCTGGAACAAATATTTACTTAAGAAAAAAAAAAATCCTGTAACTTGAATGTCATTTTTTAAGGGTCTCAGATTCTACGAGATTCTCAGAATAAAAAGAGAAAATGTGGGATCCCTGGGTGGCGCAGCGGTTTGGCGTCTGCCTTTGGCCCAGGGCGCGATCCTGGAGACCCGGGATCGAATCCCACATCGGGCTCCTGGTGCATGGAGCCTGCTTCTCCCTCTGCCTGTGTCTCTGCCTCTCTCTCTCTCTCTCTATCATAAATAAAAAAAAAAATAAAATAAAATAAAAAGAGAAAATGCTACCTCCCGAATTTACTCTTTATATTCTCACTTGCTATTCCTCTAAGGTAGATGATGAACTAGAACCTCAACAGGAATTGTCTTCATTATGGCTTAAGTTTGGCTTTTGTTAGAAATCTGAATACTGACCTTCTTCAGTAGTACGAACTATTTTAGATTCACTGTCCATTCCTTGGAACTCATTAAAATATGGTCGAACTTTAATTTCATAAGTCACTCCCTTTTTGAGGTTGACCAAGACAGCACTTCGCTCGGTTGGGACTTTGGCATCTAAATTCTGCCATGTTGTCGTAGCCTGCAGGCCTGAGGTCTGACGATACATCACTCGGTAGCCTTGAATAAACTGGGGCTGGCGATCAACCTGAAAAACAGCCAAAAGCGTTTGAAACCAAATAGAAATATTTTAGTTGAGACAACGAATCCATCCTCGTTTCTCTTGTCCTTATTTCAGTCATCATCAGCTATCATCTGTGTGATCCATGGCTTTGAAATTCATCTCCCTGCTTCTAACATCCAATTCCAATTCTGAGTTTGCATCGCCTCTTAGCTATGATTTCCAAAATAAAGAATGGAACAACTCTCTCTCCTGCTTAAAGTACTATGTAGTCTTTAACATACCTACTTAATTAATTCAAATTCTTTATAGCACAAATGCCTGACAGGCCTAGACCTGCCAATTTGTCTAGCTTCCTTTCTCATCTGTCTATCTTTGTCCTATATTCAACAGTTCCCATTTTTATGGTCGGATGTGTACTGTGCTATTACTCAGGAATTTCCATTCTTCTCTTTTACCCATTCATTAATATCTTCATTTACTCCAATCATTTTCTGAGTTCTTACTAATCAAGTTACTGGTCAAGTTACATCCATAACCAATACCCAAAAACAAATGTTATGAATGAGATGGACAAGAGGCTAAGGAAGCCTGGACGGGAGAGGAAGTTGACAGAATCAGGAAGGGGAGAAAGCATTTCCCCAAAAAAGAATAAGTGGTGGGATCTGCAAGGAAAGTTGGATAATTTATTCCAGAGGAAGAAGTGTAGAAACAGCACCTATAAAATTCCTACACCTGAAGGAAGTGTATGAGAAGATGAGGAGTGTGAAGTTAGAGTGTCTATTTTAAAGGTATTTGAAAAGCTTATACTCATTAGCAAAGATTAAATCAAAGACTGACTAATTTATCAGTTTTTGGCTCCTTCAAGTGTCCCACTATTGGTGCAATTTCACAACTTTCTTTATCTTTTCATTCACAAAAGGTATAGAGGATAAGCAGTTGTTTTTAAAGAAAATCTGGGATTTTGATTCTGAAAACTCATATCAAATAAAAATGTGAAAATGCTATTTTGTTCACTCACAATAATTACACGAAAACTGAATATACAAAAAATGCAAGCTAAAAATAAAACATGTCCTCCTCATACATTATTGAATGATCTCTTTTGGAGTTTTACCATTGTTTCATTTAGGGAGAAAAGAATTTTTAACTTTTTTTAAAGAATTTATTTATTCATGAGAAACACACAGAGAGAGGCAGAGACACAGGCAGAGGGAGAAGCAGGTTCCCTGTGGGGCGCCTGATGCAGGACTCGATCCCAGGACTCCAGGATTATGATCTGAGCCAAAGGCAGATGCTCAACTACTGAGCCACCCAGGCGTCCTCGATTTTTAACTTTAAAAAAATTTTTTAATGTTTTTCCATTTTCCTAGAATTGACTTAAAAAATAACTATCACAGGATATTCTCCAATTAATTTTCCATATATTGTAGTTAATAGCTGTATTCTAAGAAGTCTTTAACAAATTTGACTGCCAAATACAGTGTAAAATTTAATGGAGAAGATATGGAAAAACCTCATTTCAGGAAGGTTGTGGAGAGAAGAAACAAGAAGGAAATGATGATGAAAATGGTTATTTCAACTTTTAAAAATGTCTTTTAAAAATAATTAACTAACCAATTAATTAATTAGTTAAAAATTAGTTAATTCGATTTTAATGATTTATTGAGAGAGAGGACACAAGCAGGGGGGAGCGGCAGAGGGAGAGGGAGAAGCAGACCCTTTGCTAAGCAGGGAGCCCCTGTGGTGCTCGGTCTCAGGACATGAAGATCAAGCAGATGCTTAACCGACTGAGTCACCCAAGCGCCCCTAAAAATTTCTTTATCCAACTGTTAACACATTGTGAATAAAAGGTATTGTCTCATGCATTAACTTCTTTTTTAAAATTAATTTATTTTAGAGAGGGAGAAAGCAAGCATGCACACATAAGCTGGGGTAGGGCCAGAGGAGGAGAGAGAGAGAGAAACTCCAAGCAGACCCTGTGCTGAGCATGGAGCTCTAGGAGGGGCTTGATCCCACGAATCTGAGATCAAGTCCTTAGCCAAGGGGCAGCTGGGTGGTTCAGTGTTGAGCGTCTGTCTTTGGTTTAGGTTGTGATCCCGGGGTCCTGGGATTGAGTCCCACATCTGACCCCCTGCGTGGAGCTTGCTTCTCCCTCTTGCCTGTGTCTCTGCCTCTCTCTCTGTGTGTCTCTCATGAATAAATACATAAAATCTTAAAAAAAAAAAAAAAGACCTGAGCTTAAATCAAAAGCCAGATTCCTTTGGACTAAGCCACCCAGGCCCCCAGTTTCATGTATTAACTTCTAACATTTATTCTTTAGTCGTAGCATTTTAAAATTATTTTGAAGTGAGAGCAGAAAATTAAACAACAACAACAACAACAACAACAAAAACAATCCAGGATTTCAATCAAAATACAGTGGAGCGAAGAGACATTTATCTATATTTAGAATGTCCAAGCTAGAAAGTCCATGAAGCCTGTGGGCGGAGCATATGTATTTCCATGTATAGCTAATTCCAGCTTCACCGATGAGTCCCAACAACAAAGAATTCCTTCATCCACCTGACAGCATTCTTATCCTCAAAGATTTTCTGGAATTAGTGCTACACTTGTATGAGGTTCTGTCTAGAAAAAGCCCAGCTCTGATGCCAAAGCTCATGATCTCTGAATTCTCATTGATGCAACCAATTTGTGTTTGTACCAACAGACGTAGTTTTTGAAAAGCTGTAGTTCTGACATCACAAAGCAAGGCAACTAAAAAGCAAAAAGTTAAATTTATGAGAGCCAAAGAGAGATGCCTTTAATCAAAACTGTCAATGTTCAAAAATTCCTTGCAGCATATGTTAAAACAACATTAAGCCGACATTTTATAAACTTCTCTGCATTCGCTTTAAGTGAATTTATATACTGAAAGAAAGACATAACTCACAATAATAGCTTGTTAATACTGAAAGAAACAAGCTGTGTTTTTAAGAAGAACATTAAGCAGCTGTTTCCAGATGAAGAGAGTCTGTAAATCAGGGTAAATTGGTTTTATCCATGTTTGGTTTTCATTAATTAAGTGTTTTAGGGACTTTATGAAGCTAATGTTTACTATACAACATTGCCTTGCTCACTTCACTGTACACTGCTTTCTACCAGTATATTCTAATGGCCTACTTAATAACTAAATAGTTTAACTTGATTTTGTGCAGTTGCAGTACATTCTTTTTCAGAAGAAAATTTGTTGTTACAGGTGGAAGCAAAAATGAAAATGCTGAACACTACCTTAAAAAAATAGGTGGGATTTTTATTGGATATGTGTTCTACACCACTGACTTGTAGAGCACATTTTGACAGGTGGTCATTTTCAAGTTAAACCATATGCTTGTTACTTTTTTTATTAACATTCTGTTTATAAGAAAGAGGGCTTTCTTTAGAGTTGATTATAATCAGAGTCTGACCACAAATCCATGGGTTTGTAGAGTTTTAAAAATTTGTATTTTCCGAAATATCAATTAAAAGGCATTGTCTTAAGGAAAAAAAGTGAAATGATGAGGCAAGCTTCCATCTTCCAGTCAAAAGGTTCCAACTGAGCTACAGCTCGGCCTTTTAAATTTCCTGAGCCTTAGTTTTCTTAATTCAAATAATATTCCTATTACAAGGGCTTAGATACAATTAAGTGACTGTCATAAGTTAAAGAATTTTGCAAGCTTCAAGGATGCACAATGATAAAGCATCATTGTTAAGTAAGGGATATGTTTTTAAAAAGGGGTCAATATGTGACCTGAGGGTAGTGTATCAAAACGTGTACTACCCCGTTCCACTAAAATTATATTTCATTAAAATGTGCAAGTGTTTACCATCAACCTTTCTATTTTAAAAAATCCATCTAAACTGAAAATTCAAAGTGAATTTTCCTTGTTGGTCTTAGCCTCCTAAGGACTTATCTGGGTGAAGCTTAGTTCTGAAATTCTAGTTTGCTAATGCACACTTTCAATTTCAGCAGCTGTGATGTTTACGGGGCAAAAGATCTGTGAATCGTTTTGTCCTTGAACAGAAACAACATGTACACACACAAACTAGAATAACTATTTTTTAATTTTTAATTTTCTTGGAATGACTTCTTTTTTAAAAATAAGAGATTTATTGCTATTTTCTTCATGAAAGAGTCATTTCTTATCATTTTTGCCTATCACTATAAGAACAGTCACTTTTAGAAAGCAGTTGTGGCTAACTTGTTACTTCTGGATTGGCCTTGGCAAAACACCTCAGCTGGCCCTAAGTCTACATACATACTTTGGGGAATACATTTCTCTCCTCCAATAACCCATCTGTAAACTCAAATACTAACAATATAATACTTTATTTTTAAAAATATATTTATTTATTTATTCATGAGAGACGTAGAGAGAGAGAGGCAGAGAGAGAAGCAGGCTCCATGCAGGGAGCCTGACGTGGGACTCGATCCTGGGTCTCCAGGATCATGCCCTGGGCTGAAGGCGGTGCTAAACCGCTGAGCCACCCAGGCCACGCACAATATAATACTTTAAAGAACATATGCACTTAGCAGGTTGAAAATATGATGGAAATAAAACATTTTGTTATAATTTCATTAACGACCAACCACACCCCCAGTCTGACTTTATTTCACTAAATTTATCAACCTCTCAGATTCATACTTATCTCAAGTGTAACTACAAATTCATGGGGAACAATACTCTGGAATATAATTGAATACTTTTATTTTTTTAAAACAAAAATAAAAATGTATAAAAACAACTGATTTAATAATTCAAGAGCCTGTTATTAAGAGGGTATTTTTTTTTTTTAATTTTTTTTTTTTAATTTTTATTTATTTATGATAGGCACACAGTGAGAGAGAGAGAGGCAGAGACACAGGCAGAGGGAGAAGCAGGCTCCATGCACCGGGAGCCCGACGTGGGATTCGATCCCGGGTCTCCAGGATTGCGCCCTGGGCCAAAGGCAGGCGCCAAACCGCTGCGCCACCCAGGGATCCCAAGAGGGTATTTTATAAAAGACACTCTGCTAGGAAAAAACAAAAATGAGGAACATAGAATCCAGCCTCAGAGAAGTCAAGCTCATGAGAAAGAGAGATATGCAAATGAGTAATGACAAGCTTCGTGGGATACAGAGATGAATATGACAAGGTTCCTCTCTTGGAAGAACTCCCAGACTACAGACCTGCAATTTTGATCTAATTTGATTTATTCTCTTAAACTCAGTGATTTCTAAAGTGATTAACTTCATAAACATAATGACTTTGATTCTTACCCAAATAATTTCCACATTTAGAAGCAGCTTAAAAGAGGCCCCTTCAAAACTTCCAACAGAGCAGAGAAGACTTTTCAATTGAGGGTGAGGAAAAACATCAACTATTAAAAATACAATTATTTCCTTGGCTTTCTAGTTTTATATTTGGTCAAAGTTGCAGATAGATGGAAGAGGCAAGGCAGATAATACCCCTACTGTGCCAGTGGAAACATGATGAGGTCATTATGTTCCCTCCATGGGAACAAAAGAATAGAAATCATTATAGGCAGAAAACAGAATAAATCTATCCAAAATGATATTAGAAATAGAACAAGAAACAATGTAATCTTAAATAATTACTCTTAAAATCTTATAAACTTTATTTTATTTTTGTTGAAGTGTTATCCAATTTTACAACCCAAGTCAAAATTTTGATCCTGTGGTCTAGTTTAAGAAGTATCAAAATGCCCCATCCAGGACCCTATGCCAAAATTCCACCATTAACAAATATTTCCTTCAAATAAATATTTGTCTACAGCTTAAGTAAAACTTTTTAAAGTAGAAAACACAAAACACTGATTTAAAGTAAATAAATTCTAATCCTATCTTTACCTAAAAAGTATGTGTGAGGTATTGTGAACATTATCCAATCTGAATACATTGGCTTCCTTTTATAAAATTATGGAATTTAACTAAACAGCCTTAAATGTTATTTTAGGTTTCCCTGTTCAAATATGATCATGCCTTCAAATTTCCCATATAAATGAAAACGAACGGTGATGCCTTTTCTGGTGCATGAGGATAGAGTTAATCATTTTTTCTTTGACTGAAACCTCTCTCTTTAGGATACATATATGTCTGTTATGGCTCTTATCTCTGTGTCGTGTCACTGACAATTTCATGTTTCTCTCAAGTAGATTTGTGTCTCTTTATATAGTTCTCTCCCACATCTAGTACAAAACTGGTCCATGAAAATGCTTGTTGAATTGGATTTGTTCACTGGATTTATTATTGAGAGGACAATGGAATAATTCTCTTTCATTGTGTTTTATACGTCAAATGTAATTAAGAACTCTTGAAAAAATCTTAAATTTTTAAAAAGACTTTATTGATTTATTCATGAGAGACACAGAGACAGAAGCAGAGACATAGGCAGAGGGAGAAGTAAACTCCCTGTGGGGAACCTGATGCTGGACTTGATCCCAGGACCCCGGGATCACAACCTGACTCAAAGGCAGATGCTCAACCACTGAGCCACCCAGGTGCCCCAGGAACTGGTGAAAGATAACCAATTTTCCTTTCTTAACTTCCTTATTGATGGAGTTGATAGATGGTTATTTTCCTAAAGGAAACTGGACTCTGTCTGGACTCTAAGAGTGGAAGATGAGAATCCAATTTCTTCTTACTTAGTTGTCCTTCTACTATAATAAAATAATAACAAGAGGGGCATAATTGTAAATAATTCCAATTAATATTATAATTAAAGTAAAAGATTTTCTAGGTATCCCTAACTCAAATGTCTGTGACTTAACACAATGTACAGGATCTATCATATACACAGAGGGTTTAAGGAAGTTGTGCTCTTCTAACATCTTGATACATTATGGAGTTTTAGAGGTTATGATAGAGAAATCTTAGTTATAAATGAGAAGTTGGCACTAGCTCTATTATGCATAGAGAAAAATATTACCTGGCTCTTCTCAAAACACAGACACTCATAGACACAAACACATATACACAAATATTAGTATTCTCTAGTATGGCCAATGTGGCTATTTTTATGCTATTTGTTGTTTTCACTGCAGTGGCTATTTTGCATTTTGATATAAGTGGATAAGTTGATATTTAATAATACATGGAATTAAATATTCTTAGCATATATAAAATCTATATGACTTATATAAGTCAAATTATTAAAATTATATTCATGTTCTGATGCTATTGCATGAGATACAGCTAAAGGAATGTACAGATTATTTATTTCAATTCAGAAGAAAACTTTGTCCAATTAAAATGTTTTGTGCTCCAAATAATGCCATTAAGAAAGCAAAAACCAATCCATAGACTGAGAGAAAATATTTACAAATCAGATGTCTGATAAGGAGTTTGTATCTACTATATAAAAAACACGAGTCTATAAAAAGGACATACAACCTAACATAAAAATGAGCAAAGAATTTCAATTGACATTTTTCTAAAGAAGATACACAAATGCTCAAGCATATGAAAGGATGGAAAATATTATAGGTCATTAGAGAAATGCAAATCGAAGCCACAAGGTTATACCACTCCACACCCACTAGAATGGTTATAGTCAAAAAGACAGAGGGTAGCAAGTGTTGAGGAGGATGTGGAAGAAACTGGGACTTTCAAACATTGCTGGTAGAAACATAAGATGGAACAAGCGCTCCGGAAAGCATTTTGGCAGTTTATCTGAGTATTTGACAATTACCATTTTACTCAGAAATTCCTAGGTAGAAACCAAGAAAAATGAAATCTTATGTCAACTTGTTCTCAAATGTTCATGGCTCCCTCATTCATACTAGCCACAAAGGGAAACAAACTTCAGCTCATGAAAAAAAAAAAAAAAAACAGCAAGAAAAACAGAGTATGTGATATATCTGTATGATGGAATACTATTCAGTAATAAAAAGGAACAAAGTACTGATAGATATTATGACATGGTTGAACCTCAAAAACATTTTACTGAGTGAATGGAGTCGGACACAAAAGATCGCATATTTCATGATTTCATTCATATCAAAGGAACAGGCAAATCCGGGACAGAAAGTAGATTAGTGGTTGCCCAGGGCTAAAGCAGGGGGGTGGAGGAGGCACTGGTCATGAACACAAGGTTACACTGTCAGATGATGAAATCTTCTAAAATCAGATTTTGACGATTATTGCACAATTCTGTAAATATACCAAAAACAGAATTGTACATTCTAACTCTGATATGTTAATTATATCTCAATAAAGCTATTACAAAATAAGAAGATGAAACATGCCATGGTTCTGTTGGAATCAGTCTATTTTTATTCTACTCTTTCACTGTATTGAATATTTTTCTCTTTTTGCCATTGATTACACCTTGATACTAAATGGTGAGGGTTTCCGTTACTATTTGTTTGTTGATTCACTTTTTCCTTTTTTGGTTTGTTTTTTTAAAGTAATGAAAGAAACTTCCATTAATACTGCTTTTGAAAACTTACCGTCCATGTGACCTGAACAGTGGTGGGAGTCAACACAACTGGAGTATGAAGACGGACAATGACATCTCCTAGTTCTTTCTGTACTTGTCTATGGTCCACTCCTTGTGCTGGTGGGCTGATATCTACAGAGATAACCATTCCCAATATTTAGAAATTCATAGTAAAATTTCAATGTATATTATACAAGCCATTATGATTAGGTCATTAGAAATAATTGCAGGGCAAAAAATTAAAACCTTTTGTGACAAAAAACAACAACAACAAAACATTAAAGCATACTTGTATACTTACCATCCACACTAGGACATAATTTGGGAGATGATATTTATCTTTACTAAAATAATACTAATAAAAGTATAATCTCTCCCTCCCTGCAAATACATTGTTGTGGAAGATCTATTATCTGCTTATTAAGGAATAAAGTATGTGCCACAAGACATCTCTAGAAACATCAGTTTTCGATACATGTTGGCATATGGATGGACTTTCCTGAGTAGTTAATGGAACTTATATCTGAAAACTACTGTTTAACAATTTGTTTTAATCCCTTGTCCCAGTTGGTAGATTGTATTTTCTTACTCCTTAACCTATTCCAGACTGGAAGTGTGGAAAGGAAAGTAATCACAGGGACTTGGGAAGAGACTTATATCACTAAAGGTTAACAAAGTGAGGGAAAGAAGGAGAAAAAGCCCACCAAACTCACACAAAAATACTTTTGACTGAAAAATTTAGGATACTGATAAGATATTCTAAAGTAATAAATTTTGAGCAACTTCAGTAATCTGACACATAAAGAAAAACAGTAATTTGGATGCTTTTTGGAAGTGATTGGGGGAGGGGAGAGAAAGAATTGCAATACTTAGAATAATATACTCTCAGCTATACATTGTTCTGTCCCGTATTCACCATTTCCAGAACACTAGTCTATTGTTCCATATAATGCTTTATGTTTTGTGTGCCCATTAAGAAAAGAAAAGATAAATTATAGACTCTCGTGTTCATAAACTGATATCAAACGTTGAATTTCACACAAACTCAAATCAACTACTTTAACTCATGTACTGCAGTATTCAATTGAGTTTTTTTCTTCCAACCATCTTCTAACGGAGGAAGTCTAATTCAAAATAATTTATTTTCTTAATCCTGTTTCCTCCTATTTTCTCAGGCCACAGTGCAACACTCTGGCAAAAAATATTCGTAAGTGAGTATCTCAGCCCTAACTTAAATTTGGTGCACTAACAATTTAGGACATAAATGAGGGCGGGCAAAATGGGTGAAGGGAGCCAGAAGTGCAGGCTTCCAGATACGGAATGCAGAAGTCATGGAGTAAAAGCCACAGAATAGGGCAGAGAGCAAACTGGTGGTTGCCAGAGGGGAGGGGGAAATGGGTGAAATAGGTGAAGAGGATTAAGAGTACATAGATTGCGGGCAGCCTGGGTGGCTCAGCGGTTTAGCGCCGCCTTCATTCCGGGGCATGATCCTGGAGACCCAGATAGAGTCCCATATTGGGCTCCTTGCATGGAGCCTGCTTCTCCCTCTACCTGTGTCTCTGCCTCTCTCTCTCTTTGTGTCTCTCACGAATAAGTAAATAAAATTAAAAAAAAAAAAGAGTACATAGATTGTGATGAGTGATGAGTAAGCATAGAATTATTGAATCATAATATGATGTACATAAAATGAATATAACAATGAATGCTAATTATACTTGAATTAAAAATAAATAAATATACATTTTTAAAACCCAGCACAGTAAACATAGTTAATGACACTGTAATAGCATTGTATGGTGACAGACTGCAGCCACACTTCCAGTGAGTGTGGCATAATGTATAGATAAGTTGAATCACTGTGTTGAATGCCTGAAACCAATATAACATTGTGTGTCAACTATACTCAAAAAACATTTTGAAAAAAGAAAATAAAATTCTCAAGAACCTTAGCGTGGAAGAATGCATAAAATACAAACTTGGCATTACATGCAGCATATAATGAAAGCATTACTTTTATTTAGTATTTGGAATTTATGTCAATAATTCACAAATTTGATTTTAATTAAAATAGGATTAAAATACTTTAGATCTCTTCAACTGTTTTCCAACCCCCTGTACCAATTTGAGCAAAGCACAAACTTATCTCATGACTCGGAATGTATACTTGCTGTTGTTATTTGGAAAATGGATAATATAAACAATAAAAAAATGAGTGAAACAATTGGGGCACAAATAATGGGAACTACACTTTGGTGACTTTTCTCCCCAATCCCACTGTTTTTCATTCTTAACATAAATAGCAGAGCTAGTTTTACTTGATCTAGAAAAAAAATATTATTAATATCATCATACTTCAACCTTCGCTGACACATCTATGGTCTACTGTGATGGTGATGATACAAGTATTTCCTGCCTTGCTAAAATAAAAGATTTCTAAATTCTGCGATATTTAATATCTTTCAAAGTAAGACTTCACACAGCAAAGTGTCTTTGAAAAAAAGTTCTTTGCAGAATGCAAAGCTGCTGAAAGTGTCAAAAAATGATCCTGACATTCAGACACAAAACATGAGTTTTCCTATTAAATATTTGTTAAAAGAACATAAGTCTTTTGCTCTATATAGTCTCTCAACTGAAACAAGCCAGATCACAAACAACTTTTCATTAATCTTTTTTGACCTTTTCACCAAGAAGTTATTTTATGAGTCAAGATATAGTGACTGGCAGAGTTACTGAATGCTCAAGAAGGTCTGCCGGATATAATCACACCCAAAGTCTTCCCCACTCCATTATCTTCTGCCTTCCATCACAGCTACACACAAAAACTGATTGTTTCTCTCTACACTGGCGAAAATGATCTTGGTACTATGATTTCTTGAGTTAAAACACTATACATCTTCAAGTCCCATAATTTAATTTACTCATTAAATTCAGACACACTAGAAGCGACTGGATCCAGGCAAGGTAAAATATAACCAGTTTCAGATCTTCAAATTCCTTGTTGTACTTTTTCTTTCTCTGGAGACAGGTTCTTTACCTACAGGCCCTTTATCATCATGGAAAATTAATCACATTACTGCTTAGAGAACAATAGCAAGTGGCATTCCCTCCTCCCTTGACTGTCATCATGTCAGCAACGTTCCAAAATCACGTGGTGACTATTTCACTGGATTCCTTTAAGGTGCCCTTCTCTGTTATAATAGCGTGCTAGTTACTATCACTGAACTACATTGTAATTATAATAATATTTTTATGGCTGTATGGTGCTTTTCATTGCATAAAAATACTACTTTGAATTATATCTCGTTCAAAGCCTTTTACAAATAAGAAATAATTAACCCTTTCTCTAGAACGCTGTGGGAAATGGGTTGTAACACATAATAAAGCCACGATGTCGATTTTATTAATTTCTTTCATCTACTAGTAAGGAGGGAAATTATAATGCAGCATCCTGTATTAACCCCTCGACTGCAGTGATTTCTTAATTTGAAGATTCAGGCTACTAAAGATGAGAAGAAAATCTTCAGTTTTGAAATTATAATATTCTGGATGGGTTTCTTAATGTTTTTTGTTTCAATTCAAGTTAGTTAACGTATAGCGTAATGTTAGTTTCAATTGTACACTATAGTGATTCCACACTTCCATACATGACCCGGTGCTCAACACAGCAAGTGTCCTCCTCAGCGCCCATCACCTGTTTCACCCTCTCCGCCCCACCTTGCCCACCTCCCACTCTGGTAACCATCAGTTTCTTCTCTGTAGTTGAGCTGTTTCTTGGTTTGCCTCTCTCTCTTTCCTTTGCTCCCTTGTTTCAATTCTTAATTTTTTTTATTAGTCCAAAGAAATGTATATATCAGGAGGAAAACTGGATTTATTCCTTTCTGAAACAAATTACCCCTTTAAGCATCTGGCTTGATCAAAAAAAACAACAACAACAAAACCAAACCAAATCACCATAGGGATGCTTGTCAAACTTGAGCAGAAGCATCTCCTGGAGGGTACCTTAACACACACTGCTGGGCTGCCTGCCCCCCCCCCCCGCCCCCCGAGCTTCTGAGCTGGGCCCAAGAGTCCTCATTTCTAACGTGGTCCTAGGTAATGCAGATGATACTCCTGTGGGAGCGCTGCCTGGAGACCCACTGTGCTATAAAAACAGAATTCTTGAACAATAGGAATCATTTTGATTTCCCTATCTGGGTACTGTGTCCATTAAAGATCACTTTTTGCTGTTGTATAATTAATTTCAAAGAAGGAGACAGGTTTCTTCCTTTTGATATATAGTTAAGCCCTAACTTAGTTGATTTATTATGTAAATGTACCCAATTTTTTGTTTATTTATTATTATTATTATTTTTTAATTTATTTTTTATTTTTAATTAATTAATTATTATTTTTTTTTTTTTTACTTAACAGACCCTGACAGCTCTGGGAAGAGGACACATTCACCAAGGTGAACAGCAAGTTCCCTTCTCCTTCCCTCGATCAGGTATAATGAATCACTGTAATAAGTAATGCAGACACATTTATCTTTCCTCATGCAATCCCTCTGTTCTTAAAGATCTGCTGAATACCTCCTTCCAGAACCAGTCCTGTTTACAGCTATTGAACTTACCTTGTGTGCGCACAGGATCTGACATGGGGCTTGGGTCGCTTAGACCTTGGGGGTTGATAGCTCTGACCATGAATAAATAGATCGTATTGGGCCGCAATCCTCTCACTGTATAGAGCGTGGTCTTTACATGGTTTGCCACCGTCTGCCAGCTATTGCTCACCGATTGGCTGAAACATGAACAGAACACTCACTTAAAGAAGAGTCATAAAGGTACCGGCAATGGAGTTGGGTTTCAATGACAAAAGTTAATGGCTGAAAATTAAACACACACACACACAACACTTGAAGTGTTAAGCCCAATAAATGAAACATTTGGATGATTTCGGTTTATTCAACAACAAAGCCGAGCCCACCTAACGGAAGTGCCATGCACAACAAAATTAAACTCAGCCCAGGAGATGTGACAGCCCGTTGCTAATGCACAGCAGCCCACTAAATGAATACCTGTAAAAGGAACAGAGGCCAAGATCACAACATCAAGTTTATACAATAAATATGGTCCTCGTAAATGTATATATATATACCTTGAAAAGAATTAACCTGTAGAAAGAATAAATGGACTACAGAGTAAATTATGCCAATACATTTTCCTGTTACAAGGTGTGTTTTCTTTTGCATCAATTCCACATGCAATATTATAATAGAGCCTTCTAAAACTACATATCTGTAAAAGAAGAAAGGAAGCATGTAAGGAATATTTTCCTTTGGTCACATTTTTAATAAAATTGTACATTACATAGTATGTAATTTCTCATCCTCAAATGGTGTAATACCTCTGAATCTAGAAGTGGAAACCCCTTAATAGCCAGCTATAGATGGGATGCCCATTTAGAAAATTTGTCTAAGGTCAAATGCTGCTTTTGTTCATAAAGAGGAGAAAATGTGATTTTTCCAGGGTTGCCTTTTCAAAAGTCCTTATACATCAAAGCATGAAAATTATAGAAAACTGTATTTTGAAAGTTGGAAATGACATATTTGTTGATCACCTTAAATTAGATAAGGGAAACCTAAAATGAAAGTAATGACTTGTCCTAATGTTTAAAAATGACAGTGGCTATCACTATCTTAATAGTGGTAAATAAAAGAACACTGAAACAATACAAACTTCATTTTCCCATTTGTATGAGTATTTTATCAAATTCTCATGACATTTGCTAATTTATATCTATATCTTGAATTGACCACTATTTTTTCAAATGACAATTGGATGTATCTTTTCCTTTCAGGAACCAGAGTGTAGTTTTCCAATTTTTTCTTAGGCATACCTAATAGATGTATTAAAATATATAGCACAAAAGCAATGGAATTATTTTAAGTTCTGCTCTAATTATTAGAAAGCAAAGTTCAGGGTTCCATGTCTCAATAAACAATGCAGAACTTTAAAAAGTACCCTGCCTAATTAAATTATTTTCTGCCTACTTCTAGTGACAAAATTCTCATCTTAAATTTTTATGATACTCAGGGTAAGAAAGGAGCTAAGTGATTATGTCATGTCCTAGACCCCCATAGAGTTAGGCATGGGTAATGCATATTTAATCCTATAATCAAGTTATTAATGAAAAAAACTTAAAGTCTATTCTTGAATAAAATCAGATAAATATTTAAAATGCAATGTTGAACATGTTCTTAAGATAAAACAGCCAGATAGCTCATGTGAGATTTTAGGATATAGGAGCTAAAGTAACAAGTCAATGGAGAAAAAAAAAAAAAGGAACTGTCCCATACCTGAAAGCCTCAATGATATATGCACTTGCTGGAAGGGCTCCAGGGGTACCTGGTTGCCAGGACAAGGTGACACTGTTCTTAGTAACATCAGTGACCTGTGGTTTGGATGGTGGCCCTGGTAGGTCACTTAAGTCATAATTTTTACTGATTGTTGCTCCAGATTCTATAGAGGACAAACAGAAAATGCTTCATTTCTGATTGCATAAGATTCCATAATACTTAAAAGAAGGAAAATAGTCTGTTAAAGAATTTGACCTAGACGATGAATTACTCATTGCAATGAACCAAATGTACGTAAATGAATATTTGCTTTTGCTAAATTTACTGTTTTCTTTCATGCAAGATCACTAGAATTGCTTGGTCTTCAGATAGTGAAAATAAACTTATCAAGAACAAATGTATCAAACTGCATATATGCATTGTTATGTGGATAAATTAGAAAGTGGTACACGACTAGTTTATGGATTCAACGAATTTAAAATCTCGATCTCTCCTTCAATTGACATTTGATACTGAGCTAATCACTCAAATGGGCTCAAGATTTCTTCTATTGAGATAATTCCCAAGGACTTACCTGTCACATCCAGCACAGCACTCCACGAAGTCTCCCCACTTGAACTTGTAGCCACACAAGTATAAGTACCAGTATCAGAAATCTAGTGTGCAAAAAAGGGAAAGAATTCAATTATTTTAATTAATTTATAGAATAATTACTCAATTCTCAATGTGGTAATATTTAATTTCTTAAAATGTGATATATCATTTAGCTGTCTAAATTGTTCATTAGAGTCAATCGTATGTACACATAAAATATTAAAATCAACTCATAATATTATTTTATTCATAACAGGAGTTCAGTGATTTTTTTATTATATTTCTACAAGTCTAAATGTTATTTGTCTGGTAAACTCTATTTCTCTGTCCCTCTTGCCTCCATAATACCTTTATCTTCCTATAACTACATTTTATGATGGGGCTTCACTGTGTCAGAGTTACATATGGACAAATCAGGTCAGAACAGAATTTTTCAGAATCCTATAAATTTTCAGAGATCAGTAATGCAAAATTGCCCTATCTTGAATACATTGTATTTCAATGGATAAAATGTAGTAAAGAGTAAATAAGCCCTGAGATAACAGTTGACTTTAAAAAAAACAAAAAAAAAAAAACAAAAAAACATGGAGAAGAGTAAAGGAAAAAAAAAAAAAAAACTAAAACTCTCCTTTTAAATAGATTAGCATTCTGGGGCGCCTGAGAGGCTCAGGTAGTGATCCCAGGGTCTGAGGATGGGATCGAGCCCCACATCGGGCTCCCTGCTCAGTGGGGAGCCTGTTTCTACCTCTCTCTCTCTGCCCTTCCTGCTGCTTATGCTTGCTCACACTCTCTCTCTAAAATAAATAAGTAAATAGATCAGTAGTCACTTATATTTAAATTTTAGTAGCGCGACAAAGAATGCAATAGAATTATATCATAAACACACAAACCATGTCATGGAAATCATGGAAATTTAGAGCTGAAAGGGACCATTCAATTAATCTCATGCACCACTCTTTAAAGCATACTTCAAAACTGCCATTTCTTTGATCACTTCAACTATTTTTGTTATTCACTGAAGAGCAGCAAAAAAAATTTTTTTTTTGCCTCAAAAAGTGACATTTATTCAAAGAAAAAAAGAAGAAAAAAATGAAAAGATGTTCATCCCTTGGCTTCCTTCTCTTCCCCCTCCTGCTCCTCTTCTGCCCCACAGACCAATGTCCAGGTTGGACTAGGTAGCAGGACCCCCAAAATTTTTAAAGTAGTTGACAATATAATCAAGAGCTCTCTTCTACAAATGTAAAAGGTATACATTTCTGTGATTAAATTTTGGCAAAAGGTGCAAGTCAATAAAAAAATGTATGTCAAAAATCTTCCTTGTGTTTGAGTTCTACGGGCCTATAGTATAAACATATTTATTCACATTAGTTTAGGGGTGAGGCTGGGAAGAGAAACTGATGACCAAACTGAATAAGACAAGTCATGTCTAGACATAAGTCTAATTGTTGGTGAAATATGAGGTTCATGGAATATAATATCTGCTGAATCCCCAGTGTAAGTGTACTGATGACTCAACCTTCCACAACTGATTCTCAGGTAAATCATTAGTGCATGGATGTTACTGCTTTGCCACCATTTTAATTGATTTTAAATGTCATTATGTATTTTAACTTGAGTTTCAAACTGTACTGGCACATCGTTCTCTGCCATATTATCTTCATACAATTGTCTTCTATTATCCAGCGGGATGATGGGGGATAGCCATTGTACAGAGCCATTCTTCCAAATGAGGCTGTGCATGCATTATAGTCATTAGAAATCTCTCCATTTAAGAAGCATCACTCACAAACTAAATATAATGAGCCAAGGTTGGATTTTAATGTGATGTTCATTTGAATATGGTCTGTGAAAGAGTAAAGAATTTGCATTTTATTATAGCTGTTGAACTAAAATGTAGCACTTGTTATTATGTGCAAATGCTGAAAGGAGAGTATGTAGGTAATGCTTCTTAACTGCATCTCCTTGTCATTGTGTAGAGACACAGTCTGACATTAGCTGTGGTAGGTAGGTTTTAATGAGTATTGGAATATTCTACTTCTCAAAAGATACAGATTCAGTTACCAATTAGCTGGACTATGAGAACACAGTGTTCATCACATTATTTTCCCCTCTTGCATTAAGTACCAAAAAAAAAAAAAAAAAAAGGAAGAAGAAGAAGAAGGAAAGAAACAGTGAGACACAAAGGAATTTTACCTAAAACTAACTTGACTACACATGTGAAGTAATGTAAACCCCATTTTTATCTCCCTTTAAAGACTGTCATCTTACAAAAAAGGAACATTTTCATATCGGAGTTTATTAAAAGCCACATCAAAAGCTGAAATATCATTTCTAAAACTCACTCTTTGATCACCATCATCATCACTAACATTTATTTTTATTCCTTTAACTTTTAATAATTTCTTTTCGAGTCATAAGTGCTTCATATCTCTTCTCTCCCTCTTCCTTTATCTTTAACCAAGTGTTTTAAAAAGAGATTAATGTGCTGGCACACTCCATCACCTGCTTTTCTCCTTGTTGGCTGCAGACAAGCCCCCAGGAGCTTGTATCTCAGAGAAAGGATTCAGAAGCCTGACACAGGGCTCGAAGTTTGTTTGACATCATCAAGCACCCACCTTTAATTGCTTCTTTCAAACACTACTGGGGATCTTGACTATTCAAGCACACCCTTTAATTCAGCAGTACAGTGAAAATGCATTAACCTCCATGGCCCAAGTCTGCCTTTAGCCCAAAGAGAGAGGTGAAAGTGTTTACTCAAGGAGAGTTGGCATTAATTTTTTAATAACTCCCATTTGTTCAAAGAAGGTTAACAATTAATTTAGAATCAATAAAAAGATAGGCTAAAATCTGTTTTAATTTCTTTATCTTTTAACTAAATTTGACAGCATTTTTTCTATTCAAAGCAATGATTAATGCCTAGGTCTCAAAATTAAAATAAAAATATATATTAATTTTATTAATAAATATACAAGTTAACATATTTTGTGTACTTTGTGTGTGTATGTACATACCAGAAAAGAGTCCTTCTTTTTTTGTAAATGTCTAGGTGATACACTGATGAATACCAAATAAACATGCAATTAGAAATATATTTGTATTTTAAGAGAAGAAATAGTCCATGTTGTAGTTATTTGAAAATATATGTAATGAAAAATATTTTATCTTCCTTCCCTATTTGAATAGGAAAATTCAACATTGTTATTCTGCTGTTTTTTTTTTATCTTAACTCCCAATTTCTACCTACATACCAGATTCTACTAATTGTTCTTCCGCTAAGTCATTATTGATTAATTTTTCTTCATGAACTATTATATCAATCATCTTAATTCTGGCTCTCATTCCTAATCTTTTGACTATGCTGGTAAACTCTTCAGCTTTAACATAGTGATTGCCACATAGAGGGGAGACTCTACATTTTGCTGAATGATATGACTGTACTTGTAGAGGGCAGGTGGTCCTCATGATATCATTCATCTGGTATTCACATTTTGTGTAATCAATCCCTTACCTTGAATGTGTGTGGGACCTGTTGACTGGCTTCTGACCAACAGAATATGGCAAGGGTGACAGGATGTCACATTTGTGATTTTGTTACAAAAGACTGTAATGCCTGTCTTTCTAGGAGACTCCCTTCCTCATTGACTTGGAGGAAGTAAGTAGTCGGAATGAGTATATTAATAGGCAAGGAACTAACGGCAGCCTTCAGTCAACGGCAAATAAGACACTGAGGTAATCAATATGATAGCCATAAGGAACTGAATGTTGCCAGCAATCATGTTGCTCAGAAGCCAGTCTTCGGATGAGACTACAACTCTGATACCTGATTTTCCCTTTGTGGGACTCAGAAGTGGAAGACCCCACTAGGTCATGTCCAGACTCCTAACCCCACAGAAACTATGAAATAATAAATGGATGTTGCTTTAAGCCCCTAAGTGTTTGGTAATATTGTTAAATAGCAATAGATAGGTAATACACTATTCAGAAATAGGTACTTGAGCAGCTTCCGAAGTAAGTTTAATTTGTTAAATTGGCAGGAATGGTCACCATCTTCTGTTAAAAGAACAGCAATGACTTGTCCTTGCCCACGGGTTTAAATCAAAACTCCACAGCAACTTAACCTTAAATGTAAGATTTTCCATCAACTAGCCAAACCTACCTTTTATGTATTCAACCTTATCTCCTTAGTTTTTTCACATAATAGTTTGGCCAAGCCATTTTATCCACATTTCCTTATAAACATCCTTTGTTCATGACAGTAAATTAGAAGCATTTGACACTTTTAAATTACTTTAAATATACTATTACCATCACCAACTTAATGTGTTTAAGATTTTTAGCTTGATAAAGTGAGTTGGAATGAAAGAATAAAAAGTTTCTAGGTCTGTTATGAACTTATTAACAACAAGGACTATCCTTCTAATTTCAATTAATCATTTATAAAATAAAAAATAACATGGCCAATAATAAAAGGTAGAGCAACTGTGCTAGTATGGAAGATTTTAAGTTCACAAAGCAATTTTTCCCTAGGGCAATACTTAAGTTGAGATGAAGATCCAAATACAAGTCAAGCATTACTTACCCGTAAATTCTTAATCTGCAATGTTCCTTGTTCTTGTATAGTTGCTCTTGAATCTCTACCCAGGAAAGTAAATCCCTCCTTTAGCCAGCTAATTACAGGAAGAGGATCCCCAGTAGCTTTACATTTCAGTAATGCTGTACCATCAACTGCTAGAGTTTGGTTCGCCGGGCCTTGTAGAATTATAGGTGGAGGTCTATCTGTTAAAACTAAAAGATAAAGATATTTTTAATATATTTTAAATTCTCAGAAATTATATAGGTTATATTATACTATTAGATATTATATTACATCCATATTACTTATAATTTATTCTGCATACTCTATGTCCGTTATGTATCTATTATCTATACATACTATACATACATCATATTTACTGGGGACATACTATTACTTATAACTTACTCCGAATTACCTATAGTAGATGACGATAAAATAAATTCTGACATTATAATATTGTTGAAAGTATTACTCATATTAGAATTAAAATAAAAATATGGAGAGTTCATGGTAGTTATTCATAAAATATACATTTTATCTCATATGCATATTTAAGAAAGCCAAGAGTGTCATATGGGCAGAAAAAATTTTCGTTTTTGCTTTCATCGTAAATATATGTATAATACATAATTTTACCCTTCAAAGCATTGTGCTGTATTTATAAAGACTATTATGTTGATTGATGTTAAATTACTAGAAATAAAGAAGTAATTTCTAGAATAAATTACTAGAAATACTTTATTTCCAGGATTATGACACTAGGCTTTAGATTAGAGTATTATAATTTGGATTATATGATTTAACTAGTCCCTAAAATAAGCAGTAATCTAGTTATACTATATTTATGATATAGGATTTTCATGTAAAATAAGTGTTTATGTATATATCAATTCCTGTGTTCATCCAGGTAAAATTTGCAGAATTTCGTAAACTTCTAGTTCATTGTTTTTTTTTTTTTAATTAAATATTGTTTTGTAGCACTATTGTCAGTCCTGGAAGTATTTCATACTGATTTAGGAATATATCAGAATGTGTAGTATTATTTAAATGAGTGATGGAGATATGGAGTCAATTGGATGCAAATTTTCATCCAGAATTCATTAGAACATTAAATAAGGAAACTGACATGTCCGAGTCCAAGAAAGGCTTTGTTAAGAGAAAGTTCTATAAACTTCAGCATAGATTTTGATTAATTACCCAAAATATTTATGTATATTTAAATTATGTTTATTATATAATTACCAAAATTTGTATATCATATGTAAATATAAAATTTTCATAGAAAGGAAAAAATGTGGATTTTAATGATTATTAAGTAACTATGAGGAGAAAGCCTCTATAAAGAAAGTCATCTTGTGTTACATTGTACATAATCAAAATGTCATTTTACTCATTAATACTCTAATGTCCTTTGTCCACCAGCTTTCATAAATAATCTTTTATATGACTATCTATTTCCAAATCTATATGCATCATCTTTATTATTAGAATTTGTGGTTTGGAGGAAAACATTAAATTAAGCAGCCCTTTTACAGCTTACCATGAGAAAGCCAACCAATTTTAATTTAAAATAGAAGTTATGAAATAGATCCATTGCATGTCAAGATACAGTGGACTTCCAATCAACCTAAACCTACTACATCAAAACATGTATTAAAATGTGTGTGTATGTATAAATTTAAAAACCTTATAAAAAACTAAAAAAATAAAATTTTGTTTGTGTATTATTGACAAACAAAAATTCTTTGTTTTAGAGGCAAATAAAATAATCTTCAGATAATGTAAAAATACAATATTATACCAATTCTGACACATCTGGCAGTAACTGCACAAGTAGATATATTCAAACTGAATATTCATGGAATTTATTTTCTTTATGGGTCAAAAATGAAAGGCAAATTTACAAAATATTACGAATAATTCTAAGTTCAATGAGAAAATGGGTCTATGTTTCCAGAGTAGAATCTATTTATTCAGTTTTTAATATTCTTACTTCTTTGTTTCAAATTAAATAACTATGGAATTCAGGTAACTTCTTACAACCAGTTTTTGTTTTTATAGCCATGAAATCATTAGATATAGCCAAGAACATCTAATTAGTTTCTTTCTTTTTTATTGCTCAAATGAGTAGCTCAATGTCTTTTTAATTAATTTGATCAATAAAGTAATTGAAAATCTCCTGGCCAGAAGGAATTTTCAGTTTCAAAGATGTTATGGGTGAAAGATGACCACTGGTTTCCATGACATTGAGGTCAAAGGTTAAATGAACATTTAGGGTTTCCAGTGATCTGTGAACAACTCTACAGTTTTCTCTAACTAAGCATTATAAATCCTCAATAAGCCTTCATATAAGATCATGGTGTGACATTTATTGTCAATATAATATATAAATACATCTCTTCAGTTCTTTTAGATTCTATTGACTGTATTAGATTTCTCATTACAATTTTCTAATTTTCTGAGAGAAAAAGAACAGAAGAGAAGAAGAAATCAACAGTGCCAATGAATTAATAAGGTTCTAAAAGAATATTTTGAAATTCAAGTATATTGAAGCATCTTCATTCAATCTATAATCAGTAAAATTATCACTCAACAGAACATTTCATCACCATTAGCAATCTCATCTTATAGGAACACTTGAGTTATAAATACCTCCAAGAAAGGAGTCTAAGTTCAAAAATGTAGCAATAGAAGCACTGCATAGATATTTTGCTTATTTCTCTGAATATGACATACGACATACTTTTTATGCTATTTCTCTGAATATGACATTGGAATTTCAATTGGCTTTAAATTTCCCTGGGCCACACCCTCCAAAAAATGTTCCAAAACAAAATGATCGCTCACGTACCATTAAATTGTTAACCAATCTGAAAAAAATAAAAACTATGAATAGAAGCTGAACTCATCAGCCAATGTGGCAAGTTAGTGTTTAGAAATAGTTATTAGTAATAATAATGTGTGTGTGTTTGTGTGTGTCTGTATGGTTAGGTCTTGAAGTTAGAGTTCTTTACTGTCAAAATCAATAACTCTATCACCTTCATTCAATGTTTTTGCAAAAGGATCTTGACTTTGTGATTGCTTACTTAAGTAAAAATCAATGTAGGAATTAATATTCAAGGCAGTTGTAGCAAATTGTTCAGTCACCTCACTCATCAGGTTTAAACTTGTTTTCACTCTTTTATTTTGACCTCAGAAACAAAACTAGAATAACCACTGTTTTGTGACATTATGTTGCCAACCAACACAAGTTCTCAAAACAAAAGTTTTCCTTTTCATTGCATCAGAAATAATTCTGAATATATGTCATATCATCTAGGTCTTCTAATTCATCAGTTTTGTTTTCTACAAATATGGTTTGCATTTTTCCATAACAATTTATTTAGAAACATTTTAGAGTCTGTCCTTTGTAAAATAACAAAAGCAGTTAGATTATAGTAGAAGTCTTCAGCACTATACTTGGAATGTTTTATTCTTATATATAGGAAATAGGTTATGGCCAGAATATCTTGTTTACCCAGTATATGTACCTGGACATTTTTGTTAATGGTTGAAAGCATAAGGGCTTTAAAAAGATGAATAATTATCTTTTATTTCTCTTAAAGAAAAACATACATATGAAGGATCAAAGATCTTGCCCATCTAAAAGAAGAATTTTTTAGCACTATTACCCTTGAACCTGACTTCTTTCAGTTCCATGGCAGTAAATTTCTGCAACATCAGCAGGTGCAGCCATTAACAACTCAATGTTCCTGCAGCCAATTGTTTGTCTGTTTCATTTATTCCTATTCCTGACATGGTGCTGAATCAGGCAATACCATAGACAGACATTAAAAAAGATTTCCTTTCTATTAATGTAAAATCACCATTTAATCTACATTAAGTTCAAATTGTATAAAAGTGCATCACATTTCATGAGCAGAGAAGGAAGAGAATTAGAGAAGCTGCAGACCAAAATTCTTATATCTCAGAAACCAGCATCAGAGGAAAATAAAAAACCCACAAACCTCAGAAATATAGTTGAACAAGAGAGAATTTTTAGTTTAAGACATCAAAAAACATTACGTTCTGCTCAGTAGTAGCTCACAAAATATCTAAAATTCCCAATCTATCAGATGTGACAAATAAGCTCTAGGGGAAATAAAAACAGATTATGAAGACCCTTACATCATTTTCAACAATCAGTATAAATGCAGATGCTTCAGTTAAGACTTATATAATGTGCAAATAAAAAAAAACAACAATTTTAGCATCCATCAGTAGTTTGGAAGGTATTTGGTTAATTTAACTTAGAGAATGAATAATTAAAAAGTCATAAGTTAGATTATCCACTAAGAACGCGTCTATTTCCACTGATACTATTAAAGATGATATCTCTTTCTCATCTCATGAAATAAAATTATTAATGCCCATTAGAAGCAATCATGTCAGCATAAGACTAAAAAATATACAGATCACATATATACGTACTGGGAGTGTGATGTGATTTCTTTAAAATAAAGTATTACTCTATTTTAAAAAATAAATTAGATAATCTTTGATATTCTTTGGGACAGTACATGTAAAATTAGAAACAATTAAACGTTATTTTAAGTAGATTCAAACTTAGAAGACAAGCATTCATTTACAGGTTTAGCAATTCAGAAAAATTTCTCTTGGTTAATATGGATCTTAAAATAAAAAATATTATTTTCCTAAGACAAATCTAAAAATAATACCGCACCATCAGTAACTTCCAGTTGAGCTTTTGCTAAAATGCTTCCTGCCACAGTTAATGCCTGGCATATATAGTAACCCGCATCGGAGCGCTGAATGTTGGTAATTGTGAGGTCTCCAGTTGGTGAAACAGAGCATCTACTGTTGGGTTGCTGGGGTTGATTTGGAAAAAGCAAGTTCTGTGGAAGAAACACAATCTCATCAATATCTTTTCTCACTCAGAAGGAAAATTATATTAACAATAGCTATTATAATTATTGGAATATGGTCAGAAAAAGAAAATACGTTTATTATAAAAATATGGTGTTGAAATGATTAAAGGCCATAGAGTGAGTTTCACTGGGAAACTTTTTCCAAATCATGGAAATATAATATGCTTTATAAAGTCAGCATGCTCTAGTCTGAAGGAATAGTCATCTAAAAACCCTGGATCTTGGGATATCTGGGCGGCACAGTCAGTTAAGCTTATGCCTTTGGTCAGGCCATTATCTGGGGGTCTTGGGAACCAGCCTTGGGTTCCCTGCTCACTGGGGAGTCTGCTTCTCTCTCTTCCTCTGCCACTCCTCTTACTTGTGCCCATGTGCATACTCTCTCTCATAAAAAAGTAAAATATTTTAAAAAATAAAAAAAAACCTTGTATCTTTATTTCAACCCTTTACTTTCTCCCTGTCTTACTGCCAGTTAATTAATATCTTTGAAACGTGATTTCTTCATCTGTAAAATGGGCATAACAGAATTTGTGATAATGTGGAATGTAAAATAGACTTTCCACTAATCATTCTGAGTACTTGATATAATTATCTGAATTTCTTATAAAGGTGTTCAAATGTGTGACTAAAATTGACAAAGACAGCCAGATCTACTCCTGCTATAAAATTTCTGCCGACTGTAATAGTTTTGAAAGGAGTCAGGTATAAATACTACCATCTATGCAAGATGAAGCAAATGACTGAAAATAAAAAGAAGATGCAGAATGTTTCTGAAGTATACGTGTGCCCTTAAAGAATTTCATAATATGACTTTCTCTTTTATGAAAAATTACTTTACTTTACTATACATCTCACAATAAACACAAACAGCCTACTCATAAAAATTTGGAAGTTCCTCTATGATATCAGCAATGTTAACTTAAATGACCTATCTATGTTGCTTTACTGTTGTTCAATTAAGGAAAACAATTGGGTATAACAAATCATATTGAGATATGTTTCCAAGTTGGATTATAAATAAGAGCATATCAATTTTTATGTTGTATTTACTTACAAAAAAGAACATTATAACCCTCTGGGATCTGTTTCTCGACATAGTAATTAATTTTCCAGGTTTGTAATTAAACAGTTTCAATACGTTACAATCAGGAGGTAATAACATTCAATTAAAGGAATAAGACACATTTTCACCTTAAAATGTTTTTACCCTTGAAGTAATACCAATGGAAGAGGATAAAATAGGGTATTAACACTTTTCAATTACGCTAAATGACTTTAATCCTGCGAATGATGTCCTACTTTAATTAGAAGCTCTTCTCTTTATTGCAACATGATGGATGTCCACTTTATTAGATTTGAGTGTGACACTATAAGCCCACTTTACATAAACATTACCATGTTATTAAACCCCTTCTAAAAGAAGTGATGTTTGCGAGCATGTCAGGAATATAATTTCAAAATGCTATTGCCCTCCTATAAAACTTGTATTACTATATAAGGCTAGACATTTTCATGCATATGAAACAATTTGAGAACAAGCTAATTCTCTTGTGGAATCCAAATATATTACTGAAATAAACCATCTAAAAGAGAAGGGTCTAAATTTTAAAGCCTCTTGAAAATGATACGATAACTCAAAGTATGCACTTTCCTACAATTAGCCATTAGAATACTAATTTACATAGCACTAATACATCAGATGGGCTTAATTCTCCCTGGGATCTCTTCCTCTACAATGTAGTATCAGTCCACCTTCTAAATGATTCGTTGACATGGAAAATGGCATATGATTGAGGTTAACCCATTATCTTTATTCCCTGCTTGTGTGACATAGGCACAAGAAAATGGATTACAAGCAAAACCCAAGAATTCTATAGAACTCTTCTTGCCTTGAAGTGCCTAGGTATCTTATTAGTGCTAATTGGCATTATCAGCACATATTGAGGAATATGGACCATTAAGTCCAGGCTCTTCACTCTACTGATGGAGAGTCATAGATCACTGTAAAAATTGGATACTGAAGACAGTAAGACCAATTTATTTTTCCTAATATTCCAATTCATAATTTGTAACTTTACGATTTGCTCTGGCAATTCTCTTTTGTTCTCATTTACAGTTTCTCTCCCTCTCTGTCTCTCTCTCTCTCTTTCTCTCTCTCTTTGATGCAAGGGAGATAGATGAAGGAAAGAAAACCAGACCTAAGATTATAATCAAATCAAGTTACCTAACTGGAATTTTTTCCAGAGACCTGGAGTTACATGCCACTTTGTCAAAAAAACAGAAAAAGAAATACTTTTTATGCTATTTGATTACCCTTAAAGACCATTAAAGCAGAATGTAGTATATTTAAATGCCATGTTTATTGGGCCACAGGACCAATACACGTTATGCAATATCTTATATCAACATAGAGCTATTTTAAAGCATGTGATTTACCCATGATACAGCTGTATTTATATAATAATGAGATACAGAATAATGAGATTTGATTCAATACATGGTTTTAAAGTGTAAATTTCCAAAAATCAAACTGATTTACACCATTATATTTATAAAATTGATAAATAATATGTTCATTTCATTATCTTTATTAACAGTGGCTTGAGGAAATAACTTTGATGGACCCCAAAGCCCCCCTAGGCAGGTAGAGGGAAAGAGCCACTGGTAAGAGAAAAAATATTGTCCAGCTACCAGGGCTTTCCATCCCAGCCTTCTCAGGTTCTATATGAGTCTAAGGGCTTTCCAGTGTTCACCCATCCCAACCTTCTCAGGTTCTATGTGGGTCTGAGGGCAGAGGTGACCAGAGTAGTGTTGAGCCCCTCCTTGGTGCTGGACATTAGTGTTGGGCAGGGGGATACTTCAGGTCCTGGCAGCCCTGATCTGAGCAGAAACATGAACTTGACATTTTAGGCAGGACACAGGGGAGGCAATTTCACTTTCCTAATTTCCAACAAGCTGTTAGAAATAGCGTCTTGTTTGATCATAATATGTAAAGCACTTTTACATATAAACTAACTTAATCATGTCATCCTCATAATTTATGCAAAGTAAAAGGTATTAGCCACAAAATTTAGATTAAGAAAAAAAACTTCAATAAAGTTCAAGAGTGCTACAAAGATTATACAATCATATGGAGGGAAAATGGCTTTTAAATTCTATCCTTTTTCAAGGTGTGTGCGTGTGCGTGTGTGTATACACACGTGTTAGAACTATGTTGTATTGCTTTATACTCTCTTTATAGTTTGGGTTTGCATCAAAAAGCAATTTTTAAGTGAAGAATCAAGAAACCTTGTGAGTAGAAATTGATATATAATCACTAAATGATGGGAAAAAAAGATAAATATTATGGCCTGGAACAGTTTTGATGTGAGGTAAGGCAGTGAGGGGCCAGCACTTTATCTCATATTTATACCCATAAATCATAAGGGAAGTGACTCAAACAAGGAGCACTGAAGAAAGAAGGAAATACAATGTGTCCATCTGTACTGAGTTGGTCAAACTGCTAACTAGGGGTGGTTCAGAAAAATATAGGAATCTATGACATTTAAATATGATGAATAAGGGGAACTTACTGATGCCCCTCTATCCAGATAATCAAACATTAATTCTGATCAACAGGTTCTCTCTATGCTGTCTAAAAAAATTTCCCATCTCTGGCAAAGTCTTTAGATTTCCCGGGACTCTTAACAATGGTTTTCATTATTCCCTAGGAAAGTCTTCCAGAATTTGGACTAACAGTAGAGGGTGCTGAGGCCTATTCCTGAGAACTATGCCTCCTTGAAGATGGTACTGGGAAGTCTACAACAAAAATATCTCCAGGTCCTTCAGGAATGTGCTGATAAGTTTTAAGGCAAAGAACAGTTTCTGATTTAAGCTTGAAATTCTGTTCATTGTCTGAGAGCCTAGAGGTTAAGTGCTTTGTCCCAATTTGACCAAGGCCTATGTGGAAAAAAAAAAACAGTGTATCTGACTTACTTTGAACAGAGTCTGAAAGTCAGTACTACTCAGGGAGGGCCACAAGTGGACAAACCAGGGCATAGCAAAGACCATGCAAGAGTTGGTTGGTGTATAATGTGTTATTTCCTATCTAATCCCATTGTGAAGGAATCCAGAAGGGATGATGGAAGTAAATATCTATCCCACTCGTAAATGGAAGTATCCTAAGTGAATGATAAAGAAAAGGTATTTATAATACCTATCTATGAAAGGGAATTGCAATTGGTTTCTAGGTGGATTGATAATGGAAATATTGTTTGACTGTTTTACATGTGCCTAGGATATTCCAAGAACTCTATATCTACAAACTCACTTAATAATCCTAATGTAGCTTGCTGCAAGGAAGTAAAACTATTTTTCTGTTCAGAGATTTTAAATAGGTTTTGATTAGACTTTTAAAGATAATTTTGTTACACTGAGTTTTATCTATTCTATGTAAGATATAGAATTTTGGAAAATTAACACTACAAAATAAATAACATTATATTAGAACATCAGACTCTTACTTATTTTAGAATTAATTGTTCCTTTTTTAGAAATAAAATAAATTCAACATTGATAACAGGAAAAGTGAGGCAAATTTGAGGAGCACCAGAGACAGGAAGAGTTCAGAGATTTCAGAAAAGCAGTCAAGGTTCACACTCACCTGGCTGCCTTCTTTTTGCCAAAAAACAGCTGGCTGTGGGTTTCCTTTAGTTTCACAGGGAAATGTAACTGTTCGACCTTGAGCAACAATCTGATCTCTTGGCCTAACCACAAACTGTGGAGGAGCTATAATTTAAAAGGAAAGAAAGTATATAAATATCAACCATTGTCGAAGAAAAAGCTATCAAAGGGAAAATCTGGTACTGGGTGGATTGCTCAGAGCCAGACAAAAGCTACAATTTTTATTTTTATTTTTCCCTATTTTTTAAAGCATATTTCAAAATACAATGAAATCTCAAATATAAGGAAAAGAAAAGCAAACTTATTAGTAGACACTTTCTAAATGTTGTACATAATATACCTGTAGCCCATGTATTTACATAGGAAAATAGATTTTTAATGTATTCTAATATTTCTTAAAGAAAAATATGGTTTCCCAATTTGGTTTTGCATTTTGAATAGATAAAGGTAAAAAAGAATCACTTCATTACACAAGTCTCTCCTTCAGCTGAAATTAGTCTATTCACAGACATTGACCAATTCCTGTAATATTTGTAAGACACTATTCTACATGCAGAGATACCAGAAGGCTTAAAGTATGATCCTTTGTCCTCAAAGTGCTTATATTCTAAAATCGACAAGTTAGTGTTGAAGACATCAAAGAATTGAAGATCTGGGAATTACATACAAAGATAACTAATGATATAATGGCATGTATGAAAGGGGTTGACTCTGCTTAATTAATTTCATTTAGATAAGCAAGCATTATTCAGACAATTACTATGTTCCCCTACTGACACTAAGCTACAGAGATTAAAAAAAAAAATACTTCAGGCTTCAAGGAACTCACAGCCTATTGAGAAATACAAAACATGATGATGACAACAGCAAAAGCAAGGTAAAACAATTATCTAAGACTATCCTAAGCTCAATGATAGACATGCTTTCGGAGAACAGCATAGGGGCACTTAAATCATAGTACCTTTAAGAAATGTGACAGGACTTCAGGAGAGAAGGAGGATCCCTTTATGTTATAGCAGCTGTGAAAGGCTTACACAGAGAGTACACATTATAGGGCTTTGAGGAAAGAGCAGCGTTTAGCTAAGTGGAGAAAGGGACTATCAAAGGGAAAATCTGGTACTAGGTGGATTGCTCAGAGCCAGACAAAAGCTACAATTTTTATTTTTATTTTTCCCTATTTTTTAAAGCATATTTCAAAATACAATAAAAGGAGAAGAGCACTCTCTCAAATGTAAGGAAAAGAAAAGTAAACTTATTAGTAGACAAAGGGCAAGAAGCAAGAATACATCTAAGGTACAGTACGTAATCTGGCAGAAATGAAGGGTTTCAGTTGTATGAACATCATTGGCTGAAAAATGTAGATTTGAATGTAGTCTAAGAAAGTCCTCGTTCAGGATCGTTCTAAGCTAAGAAGTGATAGATGCAAAGCAATATTGTTGGAACATTTACCCTCTAACGAATGTGGTATGGTTTGTGAGGGAGGGAGCTCAGTCAATAAAGTAGGAAGTCTGGTTGGAAGACAAAGGAAGTGATGTAGGCAAAGATAATGAGACCTAGACATGTGTAACTCCAATAGAAAAGAAAATAAAGGGATGGGTGGTAAAAATCCTGAGAAAGTTCAGGTTTAAATTGGGAGCTAATTGTAAAAAGAAGGAAGTGAGACGGTAGACAGTAAAACTGGAAGTTTTCACCAAGGACATCATATCAAAACCCACTCCCGTGAAAAACAGCATGTTTATTCCACGACTTTTCTCATCATCAATTTACACTTTAAATTGTTGCTTATGCTAGGAAACCAAAGATGGAAAAAAAACTTTAAAATCAATTCTAATTTTTAAAACCTGCTGTTCATGGCAGCCATCCTAAAATTTGAACTCTAAAGAATTAGAACAATAAATGATGTTCAGTAAAGGTCTTCTACCCAGAATTCTTTTGACTCTTCCAGAGTACACAAGAGCAGGTCCAAGAACAGAGTAAAGATAGGGTAGCTTCAAACATACAACCAGTTACCCATTCTTACCAGAATGCTAGTATAGAAACAGCAGCAGCATTTTTATTTTTTTTTTTATTTTTTTTTTTACATTCACTGAGATTTGTAGCGACTTAGTTTTTGGTGTTCTATTATACCGCCTCCTAACTCAACACATTCAACACATACCCTATGGACAGCAGGGATAAATCTACTAAGTGAAATTTTCTTCTATAACTATAGATAACAGAAGATTCAGTCTAACAGGATGGAGAACCCAGATTTATGGATCTATTTGAACAGGATGTGGTTTATGTTGCCTTGCATTTCCAGGAGATTACTTGCTTCTTACAATCTTCTTGTTATTTCTAAACAATTTCACTGAATCAGCAGATACATTGATTTTTGTTCCATGTTTTCTAATAGGAACAATAGATTAAATCAATGTTACAAAATTACTTCAGGGGCAACTCTTAAAACACTGCAATGTCCATTTTTCAGGGAAGATATGAAACCACCCGATTATTTATGCCAAAAATGCGTTAGGATTGGTATTTATCATCTCTAATATCCAAGAATAATAATATGTATTAAGCAAAATTTAAAGACCAGATACAGTTCCCACTTCTTAGTAATCCTATGAAAGACAAGCTTAGTGCCAATATGGACACTAACTAAGCTAGAAGTATAGAGAAACAGCTTGTATCTCATTATCAAAATTTTTTTTAAAAAAGCGGATTTAGTAAAAAATCATTTAACAGCCTGATAGAAGTCATACATTCAGCTTATTTGTTCATTTGTACTGCTTTGGGCTAAAAAGAATTTAAATTGGCTCACATATCTAATTAGTAAAACCTTAAAGCCCCACATGTGTTATGAAGTTCTTCTTTATATAATTAATTATTAAAATGCAGTAACTGAGAATACACATGAAGTCACCAAATGAAACATCAAATGAAAAGAATGAAAATATATTTGCTAGTTTTAAGCATATTACGCTCACTCTGTGTCTGCCTACCCATCTACATCAGTAAAATTAACATCTATACTTTAATTATAATCACATACTTCCTGGTATTTAATTTAACACAAATAGAGCAGAGTATTATCTGTAATACAAAAGGCAGAGGGCACTGGGTAAGAATGGGTGGAAGAGCAGCAAATAGACCAGGTGATGAAGAAAGGAGAGGCAAGATGACATAAAGGGCTACGGTTGAGTTGTGTTTTGAAGCACAAGTAAGAGTTCACTGGATGAGGAGGAGTAAGGTCACTCGGAACAGAGAGAAGCAGATGTAAGGCAGACACATGAGGAGCTGGATGTGTTAGGGAAGTGTAAATAGTCTTAAGAATAAAATCAGAGACACAAAAGTGATATAAGAAGGGCCAGATAATTTATGCTAAAGGAGCTTAAATTTTGCCCTGAAAACTATGGAGATCTGTCCAAAGATGTTTATGCAAGAAAGATGTAATAAGATTCATGTTTTAGAAAGAAGGCTTTTCTAAAAAAGAAAGGACAAATGCGAGGCTGGAAAATCTTAGCAAGTTAGGGCAGAAAATCCAGTTGAGAACTGTTAGTTATAGTAGCACCTTAAGAGAACATTTCATCAGAACCTTAAAGGACAAAGAAATTCTGTAATATTACAATGTAACATTTACGTGTAATGATAAAACCTAAGAAGACCAGGAAATCATAATTTTTTTGGTTTTTATCCAATATGATTTTTAAAAAAGACCTCTAACAAAATACTATTAGCATTTGTGTTATTCATGCTATGGAGTATTCTTTTTTTTTTTAATTTCATTTATTTATTCATGAGAGACACAGAGAGAGAAAGAGACAGAGACACAGGCAGAGGGAGAAGCAGGCTCCATGCAGGGAGCCTGACGTGGGACTCTATCCCAGGTCTCCAGGACCATGACCTGGGCTGAAGGCGGCGCTAAACCGCTGAGCCACCGGGCTGCCTTATGGAGTATTCTTTCATGTGATTTTTATTTATATTGCATTTTTATTCCAAGTTATTACAAATACACTCTATATCTAAAGTGCCAAATAGTTTCATGTCATCAGAACTGAAGCCCCATGCTGCTCTCACTGGAACTAGACTCACCTTATCATCTTTAAAAATAAACAAATGAAATACAGATATTAAAGCTAAGCAAAAAAAAAAAAAAAAAAAAAAAAAACCTAGAGTATTTAAGTGTCTGAAAATGTACATTCTTTCCAATTGTCACTTAAAGTTGGACCACCAAAACAAATTGCATCAATCACTTTTACTTCTGCGTACTCTCTCTGCTCCAGATCTATATTGCAATCTCCTGTGAAGGGCTATCAGCTGAAGGAATTTATTTTTGAGGTTTTAAAATGAAAAACTGCATCAATAATTCTTCTGCTAACATCTCACATTTTCAGTATTTCTGCCAGGTGGTGGTGAAAATGGTTTTAAAAGACAGTACTTGGCTGATAGCACCAATGGGAGGGAGTAGGCAGAGAGGTGGCATTTTATCAATACAGCAAGGTAGCACAAAGTGTGTTATACATAAAATGGATTTTCTGTGATGGCTCTCATTAAACATAAAAAAAATGATCGGGTTCTCAAGATGACAATTCCAAACATATATTTAAAGCCAATGTGAATTAAAGAGGTTGAATTATAAAATCCCGATGAATATACTAGTTACAGAGATGGCAATTCCCTTACATGTTTCTAAGACAGAAGACTACAAAACACATATTTATATCCTCTCTAAAATCCAAAAGCAGTAGGCAAATCTTTTGTAGTTGTGATATAATAATATAGTTGCTTAACTGTTAAGTGATTATACCTTATTGTTACAGCTGAAACAGGAAATGAGATGAAGAAAACAGTGGTACAATTCAGTGGTCAGTGGATACTTACAAGTTAAAAACAATAGCTTTATAAGAAGAGTGTGTTGTGTGATTTCCAGAAAAGTAGACCCAAATATAAAAAGGTCAATTGAGATTAGAGGTCTGGTATTGTTCACTTGAAACGGCATTTTTGAGAATTTAAATACAATGCACAGTAAATTAGATTTGATTTCTGCTAAATTATGCTTTGATACTGCATTCAGCCCAAGCTGGCTTCAATCAAAGTCAGGCTACAGCTCTGTTATGCTA